TTCCTTAAACTACAAAGGCAAGAGGAGTGCGACATTGATCTCGCCACACGTAGAAGCTACGACACAAGATTGCTTGTGGCATTCACAGAGGTGCTGACCATGGTGGAATGCCGCTTTTGGGCTCGGGAAACAATCACTGAGTGGTGGGATCACATCGTCATGCACGTCTGGGATGACGAGCAGTGGCTGCAGAACTTTCGGATGAGGAAAGCCACATTCATGGGACTGTGTGATGAGCTCGCCCCAGTCCTGTGGTGCAAGGACATGAGAATGAGAACTGCCCTGCCATTGGAGAAGTGTGGGGCGATTGCACTGTGGAAGTTGGCTACTCCAGACTGCTACTGATCAGCTACTAACCAGTTTGGAGTCGGAAAGTCGACTGTTGGACTTGTGTTGATGGAAGTGTGCAGGGCCATTAATCGCATCCTGCTCCAAAAAACCGTGACTCTGGGCAACGTGCGTGACATTGTGGACGGCTTTGCAGAAATGGGCTTCCTAATTGCGGAGAGGCGATAGTTAGCACGCATATTCCAATTCTGGCACCCGACCACCTTGCCACTGAGTACATTAATTGCAAGGGGTGTTTCTCAATGATTCTCCAGGCACTTATGGACCACCGTGGGCATTTCACAGACATTAAGGCAGGCTGGTCCAGAAAGGTGCATGACTCACGCATCTTTTGGGAACTCTGGCCTGTTCAAGAAGCTGCAAGCAGGGACTTTCTTCCTGGACCAGAAGATCATTGTAGGGGAAGTTGAAATGCCCATTGTGATCCTGGGAGACCCCACCTACCCCTTAATGCCGTGGCTTATGAAGCCATACATGGGGCCACGTGCTGTATGCCCCATAATATTTGTGAAGGGAAGGGTGAAAGCTTCACTCAGGGCTGAACCGTAGAGGCTCAGCACCTAGAGGCTAAGTTTGAACAGCTAGAGACCAGGGCTATTAGAAGGGCACAGCGCAGGGCCATAAGGATGAGGGATGCCTTGAGTCAGCAATTTGAAGCTGAAAGCCTCTAATATTTGTTGCTATGCTCGGGAGTGCAGCGTTTGTAATGCTAGGAGGTGATTTGGTGCACATGATGCAATAAAGGGGTTTAACATAATTGTATGTTGCTTTGCAGTGCTCTTTTTGCTTTCAATTGATAGAATAAAGATTGCTTTCAAATCAACACAATTCTTTTATTAAAAGACAACAATCAGAGGAGAGTCAAACAAAAAAATACATCCGCAGGGAGGGGGATGGGGGAAGGGAAGATCGCAGGGGGAGGAGGGGTCCCGGGATGCCTAAAGATTTGTATATGTCCAGGGATCATATCCAACCTTCTTCTTTGGAGTATAATGTGGGTACTGTACTTCAGCAGGGCCAAACTGCTGAGGGAATGGTGTTGAGTGCAGTGGGAGTCCATAGTGCCAGACTGTGAGGAGGGAGGAGTGGAATGCTGCGGGTAGAGACTGGAGCCAGGAGGTTGATAAGAATGTGTTGGGGGGGATGTGCATGGGAAAGAGGTTTTGCAACAGCAGCTGTAGGGGAGGGTGGGCACAGAGCTAAAGAGCTAGTATCACCTGGATCGTGTCTGCTTGGCACTCCATAACGTTTAAGAGCTGCTCCGTGGCTTCGTTCTCACGTGCTGTGTTCTCCTTTCGGTCCCTCTTCTTGCTGTCCCTCCACTCCTTCAATTCCTGTTTCTCGGCAGCGGAGTGCATCATAACCTCATGCAGAAAGTCCTCCTTAGTTCTTCTTGGCCACTTTCTAATTCTGCGCAGCCGTTCAGCCGCCGCTAACAAAGAGGGAGGCTAGGCTCCCAAGGTCATCTCTGTGAAGTTTAAACGCAACGTTTTACAGAAGCAGTATTCTTTGCAACACAGACAACACTGATTCAGTGCTTTAAAACACAGCCAGTACTCTCACACCTGTCACTAACTGGCTGATCCCAGGCAAGCACACATGAGCCACAAGACCCCCAAAATGGTGAGTAGCCGCAGGGGCAGGGTATATCACTCTTCCCGGACCCTGCTGTACAGTGGGGACATGGCTCTTGGCGAGAGCCAGCACTGTTGGGGGGCTGATAATCATTCCTGTCCCCACACTTTCCACAGGATGTGATCATTATGGAAGATAACTTGCTGCTGAGGGTGAGCAGGGAATCAGGGGAGGGTCTTCTCCAAGCCTATGGCTTCCGTCCTGGCCCCTATGCGGCTCACCTGTGTGCAGCAATGTATCCCCTCTTCCCCCCCATGATGGCACAGTGGTGTGGGAAAGTTACCGTTAATGGGGCAAGAAACAAAGCAACTCTGCCCAAGAACCTGCAGCAGTGCCAGCAGATTGCCCAGTATCTCCACAAGAGTTTCCTGGAGATCTCTGAGGGAGATGCCTGTGAAGTGAAGGAGTCAATCAACAGCCTGTTCCGCCACTCAGAGTAGGCATACAGTGGGAGACAAGTCTGCTTTCTGCCATCCTCCTGCCCCCAACAACTCGTTTCAGCAATTCCCAAAATCAAATCCACTTACCAGGGGCCTCCTCTCCTGTTTGCGCTTCGCCAGTCTCCGACAGCTGTGACTGGCTAGGCTCCTTCAGGGTAGAAAAGAGCTCATGGCTGCATGCATCTCTGGCCTCTGAGTCATCTTCTGCTTCTGGGTCCCCCGCCACATCCTCATCCAAGATTTCCTCCTTCTGGCTCAGTCCCGTCTCAACTGGCACGCGAGCCAGCGAAGTATTCACAGAGGCCTTCGCAGTGGAGGTGGGATCACTGCTGAGTTTCGTGTCCAGCTCTTTGTAGAACCGGCAGCTTGTGGGCGCAGCACTGAAGTGGCTGTTTGCTTCCCGCGCCTTGTAGTAGGCATTGCGCAGCTCCTTCACTTTGACCCTACATTGCAATGTGTCCCGGTCATGGACCCTTTCTGTCATGCATCGTGAAATCTCTCCGTCGGTATCATTCTTCCTACGGATGGAGAGCAACTGGGACTGGACAGCCTCCTCTCCCTAAATACTGATGAGGTCCAGTAGCTTGGCATTGCTCCAAGCGGGGGATCGCATGGTGCATGGAGCAGACATGGCCACCTGGAAAGATGCGCGGACACTACTGCACACATCACCAAGCAAACAGGAAGGGGACTTTCAAATTTCCAAAGGAATTTACGGGGTGCGGATGACGATTGGTCACCTGAGGGCAGGGCAGTAGAGTTCAAACCGATGACCAGAGAGGCGAGAACAGGCATTGTGGGACAGCTCCCGGAGGCCAATCGCAGCGCTGTAATCGCCATGGTGTCAACAGTGGCATTGCAGCGCTGTAGCCCCAGCGCAGAAAGCTGTACGCCTCTTGTCGGGGTGTGGTTTTTTGTTTTGTTTGTTTTAATTAAATCGCTACAACTGCACAGTTTCTGTGCACTAAGTGGCCTGGCAGTGTGTACACCTTGGGAGTTATAGCACAGAAAGCTGCTTTACTGGAGAGAAACTTGCCAATGTAGGCAATGCTTAAGTCTAGGTAACAACATCTTGCTGGCATAGCTGTGACCAGCCCAGCAATACTGGCAAAACCCTGTGTAGACATAGTTATATAAGCAAAAGAGTCCTTTTGCTGGAATAGCTTTTGTCATTTGGGAAGTTGTTTAACTATACCTGCAGAGACCTCCTTATGCCCGTATAAATTGCGTCTCCAATTGGGCCTCTGCTGATATAGCTATACCAATATAGCTGTATCGGCAAAGCCTTTCTAGTGTAGGCTGGTCCTAAAATAAGCTTGTGTACAAATATTGGTAGTATCTAAAATCAAGCATGGTCAGGAATTTTTCAGTGAAACACTATTCCAGTAAATTTTTTAATGATAGGTACACAATAGTTTTCAACTTTCAACATTAAATGTAATTTTTTTCAGCTATTCTACATCAAAAGTGTTTGATTTTACATTGAAAAGAAACTATTGTTTAGAACTCTATGCTTTGAAAACATTTTTATGAGGTGACTGGTAATGGGATATAAAGCCTTCAACTTCTGGGTTACCATTCGGAATCTAGTCAAGGTCAGAAGTGGCCAAGAGTTACTGCAATATGATGACCGGTTTGGCCTGTGTGCTAGCTAAATGTACGTAGTATTTTTAGTTCAGTATCCCGTGGACTGGTGTAAGCTTCACAAAAACTACCACCACATTGGCACCATTCTTGATAATTGCAGAAGAACGATAAAGGATTGAATGGGCATGACAAATATAACAGTCCCCTTCATTGCTAGAAGTGATAATTGCAGGTTGTTTAAAAGTCTGTCTGGGCTGGATTAATTTATTTTAAGAATTGCTTGTAATATTCAAGAAATGTCATCTGTGCTGAGGGGTGGGGTAGAGGTGAGAATGTTGTGATTCAGGCAAACCCTTAGGTAAATAGAGAATTTTAAGATTAACTCCTAGGGCTTGTCTACACTTACATTTTATAGCGCTCTAACTTGCTGGCTCAGGGGTGTGAAAAATCACCCCCCTGAGTGCAGCAAGTCTGAGCACTTTAAAGCGCTAGTGTAGACAGGCTATGCTCCCAGCACTTAGAGCTAATCCCCTCATGGAGGTGGATTACCAGGAGCGCTGGGAGAGCTCTCTTCTCTCCCGGTGCTTGCACACTACCACACTTGCACTTCAGAGGACTGCCGTGGGAGCGTTTTGAAGTTTCCAGTGTAGCCATGCCCCTAGTTAGTTTTCACGTTTCTTTCTGGATAGAATAAAGAGATATTGAATAGAGTGGATCTCCCCATATCTAATCTAGAAAATACTATTAAAAATAATTATTCAACTCTATCATGTATCATGGCAAATGTTAGGGTAACCCAATGTGCAGCAAAGCACGGGATGGACTAAGGTCTAAGGTAATCGCATATCATATTTTTCAACTTTTAATGACATGCAAAATATATTTTTATTCAGTAAGAAGTGTGGTTTATCATACAGCTATTGTGGAGGGAGGATTAATGAGATTGTGTAAATCATAGCTCTTGAGGATTAACACACTCCGATATTGCAGGTGAGCATGAAGATTTGCAGAAGCTTGCAGAAGAAGAAATAGTTTCCTGTCAGGAAGAGATAACTGAATTGAAGCGCCAGGTATAGTCCTTTGTAAAGTAACTGCATATGTCCGTCTACTATCCAAAGTTAAATGAGCACTAGCCAAATCCTGTCCTCATTTATAACCATACAACTTCATTCAAATTAGTTTTTCATTTTTTTATAGTTGATAGAATGAAATACCATCCCATGTTTGAAGTGAAGAACTGCAAAGTTGACATATTATAAAATCACAGAAATACAGGGCTGGGGAAGGGACCTTGAGAGGTAATCTAGTCCATCCCTCCATGGACCAAATATCCTTAGACCATTCCTGAAACCTGAAAAGCATTTATTTGTATTTATAGAGCAACTATGTGAGCACTTCTCAAGAATGTCAAACTATAAATGCTAATAAGGCTTCCTCCGTTCTCTGGCTGCAAGAGAAACAGTTAATTAGTTTTACTGCTTATATATGTGCCCAGGGCCTTTATCAACTGATAAGGGCAAATACACATAGGATCACTGTGAGAGTAGGCTATTGCTTTTACAAAAGACATTTGTAAACTATGTAACTAGTTCCCACTTGTTAGTTTGTATAGGCATCTGCATAGTAGTAACTTTCATCAAAATCATTCCCTCTGGAATGTGCATGATAACAAGTTAAAAAGTTATTGCTTTTTTCTAAATCTGATCTGTTAAAGAAAATTGATTAATTTTGCCACATGCTCATCCAGCACCAAAATGACAGTTGGTTTATATGCTTATTTTTTTGTAAACATACAAAAATGTATAGATTTACAGGAAGAATAGATAGGACAAAGATATTGATATAGAGAAACTTTACTCAGTACAAGCAAGCAGTAATGGGTGAAAACATTACAGGGAAGTGTTTGAAGCGAGCTTGGTCCAACGTGTAAAATTGTTTTATAAAGGCTATTAATGATGTATTTTCAGGTTTTAATTTCAGGGCATTTTTAATTTGTGACTCAATACAAATTCACATCTCTCCTGATTTAAAAGAAATGAAATAAAATAAAACAAAACAAAAATCCTCAACAGCTCCATGACACACTTTCGAACTTTTTCAGTCATAGAGCTACTTACTTGATAAGCTAGTACTGAGTTAAAAGAAGATCTGTTTAAAAAAGACTTTCCATTTCCAGATATTGGTCAGTGATTTCTGTAGTCTCCAGAAGCAGAGGCCTCTTCTGGCTGATGGAAATCTGCGCAAGGTTTTGTTGGTCATCTTGAAGGGAGCCTTTCACCATCACAAACACAAAAAAGCCTTTTCTCAACAAACGCACACTTGACTCCAGTTAGTCTTCAGGGAGGTAGTGTATTAACAAAAAGGGCATTAGGCTGGAAGTCAGGAGATTTGGGTTCTATTCCTAGGACTTCCATTGACCTGCTGTATGACTTTGGGCAGGTTATTTTGCCTATACAATGAGGATAATGATACTTACCTTCCTTGAAGTCTACCAAGAAATGCTAGTAAGTATTATATATTCATGTATTAATGGGAGTTGCCTGGGGAAAATTATAATACAAAAATGTAGGCTGAGCTTAAAAAGCTGAGTATGGAGAAAGAGCATTAAGCAAACTACCTACTTGGAGAATGTCAAGGAGCTACTGTAACAGACTGCAAAATAAAACGATTGCCAGCTTGCATGACATTTTCATACCATCTGAACATACTGAAATATTTCAAAAAGAAAAGGAGTACTTGTGGCACCTTAGAGACTAACCAATTTATTTGAGCATAAGCTTTTGTTAGCTACAGCTCACTTCATCCGATGAATGCCTCCGATGAAGTGAGCTGTAGCTCACGAAGGCTTATGCTCAAATAAATTGGTTAGTCTCTAAGGTGCCACAAGTACTCCTTTTCTTTTTGCGAATACAGACTAACACGGCTGTTACTCTGAAACCTGAAACATTTCAAGTATGCATTGAGATGTCAGGGGAAAAAAATCTTAGGGTATGTCTACACTGGCAAGTTTCTGTGCCACAAGTTATACCACTTTTATTAAAACGCTGGAATTAAACCGCTGTTGGGTGTCCACACGGTGCTCCTTGTGATACTGGAGCACATCCACATTAGCAGCTCTTGCAACGGCAAAGACAACAGTGCATTGTGGTCGCTATCCCACTGTGCAACTGGCTGCAGGGTGCTTTGGGGAGGGTTTGCAATGCCTCATGGGGCAGGCACAGCGTCACATGATGCAGGTTTCCCAATCCCATTGTTCCATGGGCTTCCTACTACATTGCCAGCTGCTTTTCAGCTGAAGTGAGGGGGTAGCGGAGGAGAGTGAGTATGTGTGGGTGTATGGGGTGGTGGGGGAGAGACTGTGTTTTGGGGGACAGAGAATGTATCAGCATGCTGTCTTGTAAGTTCAGACAGCAGCAAGAAGCAACCAGTCCTGAGGCAGGAGAAGAGGGAAACCCCAACAGCAGCCCTTGCCTTCCTCCTTGGGCTCACACACACACCCCCTCTGTGTTCAACAGCAGGAGCATTCCACATTAATGGTTTGCTTTGTGTCCCAGAGCAGATCAGCACAGCACTCAAGGGCTGTCAGAAACAGTGCTTTGAAAGGGGAGGGGCGCGTGGCTCCAGGGCAGCCGAGTTCAAAACAATAAGCAGAGCGGTCACTTGAGGCATTATGGGACAGCTCTGGAGGCCAATTACAGGGCAGAAAGCAATCAAGCGTTCACACTGGCAATAGAGCGCTGGAGCCTCTGTGCAAATAGCCTTATGACTCTCGTGGTGGTTTTTTGCAGTGCTGCAACTGAGGAGTTTCTGCGCACAAAGTGGCTTGGCAGTTTGTACATGTCTGCAGTTTGAGCGCAAAAAGCTCCTTGACTGGCAAGTTTCTGCGCAGTATGGACAAGCCCTTAAACAGGTAAAAAGGTGTGTTACTTTTTGTATTTACAGATAGTATTGCATTTGATTCCTTCAGAAGAAACAGACAAGAGTGATTTGGTCATGGAAGTAACTGCTGGCGTTGGTGGACAGGAAGCCATGCTGTTCACTGCAGAGATATTTGATACGTATCAACAATATGCTGCATATAAAAACTGGAGATTTGAAATACTGGAATATTTTCCGAGTGAAATAGGTTAGTAATTAATGCTCTAATAACTAGACTAGAAAAGTTGTATAGTTAAAAGAAATTTACTTATATGAGGGTTTTGTTGCTTGCCTACCTACAACTTCACTTCCAAATTTAAGTAAACAGAATCAGTGAAGCTGTTTTAATATATAAACAAGATTTTACTCAATTTTTACTGTGAGTATGAAATGGCATTTCTAATGTTTCACAAAGAATGAAGATCTATAGCTTCACACAATGTAGTTGGCGTAGCTTGAGAAAAATAAATATTAATTGATGTTACATGTTTGGGGTGAAGATATCTGCATAGTGGTACATTTATATATTCTCAAGTATATTTTTTTATTGATTTGGACACAGTTGTTTTATATAGCTGTTTAATATTCTTGTTTTTATAATACCTTCATTCTGTTGTATTCTGAATGTTTGTTCATTGCTCTGGGTGCTTTGACACAGAGAGGGGCACTATTTAATTAAAATTATGTTCAATGACTAAGCTGAAATATCTTGAAGTTATCTGAAATGTTGTCTTCTGCCAAATATTTTCTCATCCATTTTAAGTTTTTTGTTTCAGTAAAAATGTTCAATAAAACCTCACTAGTCTGCACCAAAAATGTGATATTTCTCAATATCACACACGTGCTCAATTGTAAATTCACCTGGACAGTAAGTTTAAAGGTTGAACCATTCCATAAACCTGATGATCTCCATATAACTCTTATGATAAAGGCTTAAATAGTGTGAAAGACCTTGACCTGGCACTCTTCACTGAAATGAATATTACCCTTTGGGAATTATAGGGACATATCTTAATGGGCAAACTTACAAGTACACATGTATTGGTTGTTGCATGCATTTGTACTTCTGAAAATATAGATCTGGTTCCTTTGTGAAACCCATCCTCTTGGTAAGCTAGACTGGTGGTCACTTTCTGACTATCATAAAATGATCCTTGTGACTCCATCTTAATGAAGATAGGATTTATTCATTTGTATCTTTTATTCAATCTAGTAAAGTTTAAATTGTGTAACAGGATTTTTTTTAAAAGCAGAAACATTCAAATATGTAAAACTGGTCTATGCTACAGTCTTCTTCAGTTCTTTTCTCATCAGCTGATCAATTTGGACTGCTAGTTGCTAATGACCATGATGAGCTCAAATTTTCTATTACTTCAGAATTTCCTTCTAGAGATGTTATTGTTAACTGGATTAATCAATTCCCCATGTGCTAATTCTTAAACATGCCAAGATTTATAGTTCAAGGACATCCATCAGGTAGACTAACTCTATCACAAGTAAACTGATTGTTATGGTCAAGCATACCCAGTTTGCCAGTAAATTAGCTTGCCAAGTCACAGTACAGATGGTATCAGGCGTTCCTGTGGGTGTGCCTTAGGTGTGGTGGTAGTACTTTGTTTCTTAATCAAGTTAATTAATGTCCATTCTTGTTTTTGTTTCTTTTATTTCCACTTGCTGTGGTAGCTTCTGATTAAATACAAATGGTTTACTAAATCAGATTAACTCCCTAAAACATTTCACAAAAGACATAAATGTAGGTTCACCAAATGGTAAACAAATAAGATGTTTGACCTGTATAGCTCGTACATCTATTTTGGAAACATAAAAACTTTTGGGACAAGGCATGGGAAATGTAGGGGAAAAGCTGAATCACTAGAATCCACTAGAAACTGACTTAATAATCACTAAAACCATAGCACTGTGCCCTTTCAAAGTATTTTTACTGTGATCATCAGCCAGCTTCCTCTTCAGCTAGCTATGTAGAAGAGATACTTTATTTAGCTTTTTAATTAGAATAAACGTGCTTAAGCATTAATATTATAGTAAGCCTAAATTCTGTGTAATTGAGCAAGAATCCCTGAATATACAGCAATAAATCTTTAGCTCAGTCTGATGATGGCCATATTTATACAATTGAAAGATTTCACAAGAATTGTTAGCATGGAGAGCATATGTTAAACTTTCAGATTTCTTTGGCAGCCATTCTTATTTAACAGACATATCCAAATTGTATCTTGGATAGCTGTATTTATTAGTGTTAAGTGGTGGATTTAATGTATAGCATTAACATAATAAACTGATACATGCTGACAAATCACTTAAGCTATAAAGTTTGTTTAATTATGCATTGAGGTAACAAAGTGATACACTTACAAATTCATATAAAACCCTATTTTATTGGCAAGTATGGGCAACATTTTTAAAAAATCACCAGGATAGGTCAAATGGCTTTGTAAGGGAGCAGGGAGGGAAATGATAAGGTTGGCATACAGACTTTTTAAAAAAAAATTGGGATCCCTACAGACTGACTTAATGGAATCAAAACTTATTTCTTTTTTGTGAGAAAATGTTAATAGAATATTAAGAGTCTGCAGAGAACAGCAATATTTGCAAAACCTTTAATTACAGTTGTCAAACACCAGTCCCACAGTGTGGATCCGGCCTGCTAGATGTATTTTTGGTGGCCTAGATTGCATAGTCAGATTTCTACACTGTTTTGGCTTTCATTTTAGAAAGCTTCTATCTAGCCCTTGAAGAGACAACCTAAGGTATACTGACAGGTTTCAGAGTAACAGCCGTGTTAGTCTGTATTCGCAAAAAGAAAAGGAGTACTTGTGGCACCTTAGAGACTAACAAATTTATTTGAGCATAAGCTTTCGTGAGCTACAGCTCACTTCATTGGATGCATTCAGTAGAAAATACAGTAGAAAATACAGTGGGGAGATTTATATACATAGAGAACATGAAACAATGGGTGTTACCATACACACTGTAAGGAGAGTGATCACTTAAGGTGAGCTATTACCAGCAGGAGAGTGGGGGGAGGAGGGGGGAACCTTTTGTAGTGATAATCAAGGTGGGCCATTTCCAGCAGTTGACAAGAACATCTGAGGAACAGTTGGGGGGATGGGGGGGAGGGAATAAGCATGGGGAAATTGTTTACTTTGTGTAATGACCCATCCACACCCAGTCTCTATTCAAGCCTAAGTTAATTGTATCCAGTTTGCAAATTAATTCCAATTCAGCAGTCTCTCCTTGGATGTGCATGGGCTGAAATTGTGGAAAAGCAGCATCACTTGCCCCATAACCTCAGCCGTGCAGAACACAATGCCATCCACAGCCTCAGAAACAACTCTGACATCATAATCAAAAAGGCTGACAGAGGAGGTGCTGTCGTCATCATGAATAGGTCAGAATATGAACAAGAGGCTGCTAGGAAGCGCTCCAACACCAATTTATACAAGCCATTACCCTCTGATCCCACTGAGGGTTACCAAAAGAAACTACACCAGTTGCTCAAGAAACTCCCTGAAAAAGCACAAGAACAAATCCACACAGACACACCCCTGGAACCCCGACCTGGGGTATTCTATCTGCTACCCAAGATCCATAAACCTGGAAATCTTGGACGCCCCATCATCTCGGGCATTGGTACCCTGACAGCAGGATTGTCTGGCTATGCAGACTCCCTCCTCAGGCCCTATGCTACCAGTACTCCCAGCTATCTTGGAGACGCCACTGACTTCCTGAGGAAACTACAATCCATAGGTGATCTTCCTGAAAACACCATCCTGGCCACTATGGATGTAGAAGCCCCCTACATCAACATTCCACACGAAGATGGACTACAAGCCATCAGGAACGGTATCCCCAATAATGTCACAGCAAACCTGGTGGCTGAACTTTGTGACTTTGTCCTCACCCATAACTATTTCACATTTGGGGACAATGTATACCTTCAAATCAGTGGCACTGCTATGGGTACCCGCATGGCCCCACAGTATGCCAACATTTCTTTGGCTGACTCAGAACAACGCTTCCTCAGCTCTTGTCCCATAATACCCCTACTCTACTTCGCTACATTGATGACATCTTCATCATCTGGACCCATGGAAAAGAAGCCCTTGAGGAATTCCACCATGATTTCAACCATTTCCATCCCACCATCAACCTCAGCCTGCACCAGTCCACACAAGAGATCCACTTCCTGGACACTATGGTGCTAATAAGCGATGGTCACATAAACACCACCTTATACTGGAAACCTAATGACTGCTGTTCCTACCTGCATGCCTCCAGCTTTCATCCAGACCACACCACACGACCCATTGTCTACAGCCAAGTTCTACGATACAACCGCATTTGCTCCAACCCCTCAGACAGAGACAAACACCTACAAGATCTCTATCAAGCGTTCTTACAACTACAGTACCCAGCTGCTGAAGTGAAGAAACAGATTGACAGAGCCAGAAGAGTACCCAGAAGTCACCTACTACAGGACAGGCCCAGCAAAGAAAATAACAGAATGCCACTACCTATCACCTTCAGCCCCCAACTAAAACCTCTCCAACACATCATAAAGGATCTACAACCTATCCTGAAGGATGACCCATCACTCTCACAGATCTTGGGAGACAGGCCAGTCCTTGCTTACAGACAGCCCCCCAACCTGAAGCAAATACTCGCCAGCAACCACACACCAGAACCACTAACCCAGGAACCTATCCTTGCAACAAAGCCCGATGCCAACTGTGTCCACATATCTATTCAGGGGACACCATCATAGGAGCTAATCACATCAGCCACACTATCAGAGGCTCGTTCACCTGCACATCTACCAATGTGATTTTTGCCATCATGTGCCAGCAATGCCCCTCTGCCATGGACATTGGCCAAACTGGACAGTCTCTACGTAAAAGAATAAATGGACACAAATCAGACGTCAAGAATTATAACGTTCAAAAACCAGTCGGAGAACACTTCAATCTCTTTGGTCACTTGATTACAGACCTAAGAGTGGCAATTCTTCACCAAAAAAACCTTCAAAAACAGACTCCAACAAGAGACTGCTGAATTGGAATTAATTTGCAAACTGGATACAGTTTAATTTAGGCTTGAATAGAGACTGGGAGTGGATGGGTCATTACACAAAGTAAAACTATTTCCCCATGTTTATTCCCCCCCCCCAAGCTGTTCCTCAGATGTTCTTGTCAACTGCTGGAAATGACCCACCTTTATTATAACTATAAAAGGTTCCCTCCACTCCCTCCCACCCCCCCTTGCTGGTAATAGCTCACCTTAAGTGATCACTCTCCTTACAGTGTGTATGGTAACACCCATTGTTTCATGTTCTCTATGTATATAAATCTCCCCACTGTATTTTCTACTGAATGCATCCAATGAAGTGAGCTGTAGCTCACAAAAGCTTATGCTCAAATAAATTTGTTAGTCTCTAAGGTGCCACAAGTACTCCCTTTCTTCTAACGTATACTGTTGCAGGAGTGGCTTTTAGTGATCTGAACCTTCCCACTCCTATTAATCTCTTTGGGTTTAACTCCAAATTCAAGGTGTGATACTTTGTCAGCATTAACTATTTCATTGCTGATAATTTTAGTGACTGGAAAGGGGTGGTTGGGAATTGAGGATTTTTCCTCCCTCTCAGCAGGAAAGGGAATGCAGAGAAAGAAGAAAGGAAGAGAAATACAAAAACAGGGAAGAGGGGAAAGGGACTAAAGGTGGGTGGGAAAGAGACACAGAACAAAAATAGTCGTGGTCCTAAAGTTGAGCAGATTTTTCCATTGAGTGATGCTGAATATGGCAAGATACTAACAAATAATAAGTAAGTTTGTTACTATACAGAGACCGTATTCTGCTCATGATCTTTGTGTAAACTTCTCATTGACATCAGTGGGAGTTCCATGAATGGAGGGAGCTACGTAGGTGTAAATATATATCATGGCCCATAGACATAATTTAAAATGGCATTTGGCCTCCTCCACAGAATGAATTTGACACGTCTCCCTTTAACAAACAACCTGCAGGGAATTTCTGTTCTTGGAGGTTTTTTGCATCATTGGGTATTAAACCTGACTAAAGATATTAGTTAAAATATTTTTCCTTGTTAACTGCTTGTTTAAAAAAAAAAAAAAATAGAAGATAATTCCTATGGAAATTTCCTGGTGGAACACTTAGCCAAGAAGGGACACTGCCTGCCTCTTCATTGTGTAATCAGCAATCTTGATTTTCCCCAACACCAAAAGCTACATGAGAAAACATATAGAAAGCAAGAGTGCTGCAGAATGTTGAGGAATGGAACACAGGTTGGCTGGTGAGGAGGTACTTGATAATTAAGTAAAGCCTGATTCAGACTACACATAAGTTACCCGATAAATTATTCCTAACTTTTTCCCAACAACAAGTGTCAGTATCATCTAAATAAAATGTTTCAAATTGTAATAGGATAGTTATAGTAAGACTGTTTTCTCTTTGTCTTTAAGGTGGCCTGAGACATGCAGCTGCCAGTATAGCAGGTCTTGAAGCATACAAGCACATGAAGTTTGAAGGAGGAGTGCATCGTGTTCAGCGAGTGCCAAAGACAGAAAAGCAAGGCCGTGTTCACACCAGTACAATGACTATCGCAATATTACCCCAACCCATGGAGGTAAGATGTATTTAAATATAACTAATCGTCCCATGAACAACCCCCATTACCTGCCGTCTTGAAGACATGTAAAATCTTTCCTTTTTCAATCTTTTGACCGCTCCCTGAAAAACCCCAAGTCATGTTGCATCTAATGATCATATTTATGTCCGGAGAGGCTAGAGAGCATGGGCACACTTAAGTGTGTGTGTTCGTGGATTTCTTCACATTCCTGCCTCACAATGTTTTCCCACCAACAAACTGTTGTGAGTTCAATAGGATTTTCTCTTACATAGCTTGTAGAGAATTACTTTGTATGGAGTAAGATCTCTTTAGCTTCTATATTTTATTTACACAGAGTGTTTCCTAAGCTTGAAAAATGTTCCATTCAAAAACAACGTTTTAGAACCAAAGTCTATTACAATTTCAGAGGAATGCTTTAGTGTATGGAAAGTGGGAATACAAATTGGTCACAGGAGGTTTTTGTGTGGGGAAAAATGTCTCGGGAATCCCTCATCCAAATATTGGCTCTTCCTAGCTGGACTTCACCAGAGGCATGTCAAAGGGGGACTTGTATCCCCGACACAGTGACAAAAGAACTGGGACCAAAAAATGTGGAATTTAGAGATTTTGTTTACATATGCATTATCTATAAATTCCATATTTTTCTCCCCCTAAAAAGATTTGCTGAGAATTTTGTTCTCATCCGGGATTTGCTAAGCTAACACCCTTGAACTAGCTGAGAATTAAAGCTTTGTATTGATCTTTGCCTCAGAGGAGCTTGCACTGCAGTCTGATCAACAGGACTGTATTGTGCTTTCTGTAACTGTTAGGTTGTTTCATTGCACTCCTCATCAACTTGAAATGGTTTTGATCTCCTACTGAAATATACTGTTTAAAAAAATATCCAAATGTTTGTATTAAAAATAACTAACTCATTTGTATAGAAAGGAGAAACAAAGATGTGTGTGGGTTTTTTTTGTTTTGTTTTGTTTTTTTTTGTTCTATCTTCCCTATCACAGATCAATCTGATAATTAATCCCAAAGATTTACAAATTGAAACTAAGCGAGCCAGTGGAGCTGGGGGCCAGCATGTAAATACAACTGACAGCGCTGTACGGATAGTTCATATTCCAACAGGTACCTAAATCTTAATAAAGGATCTACAATGTGAAACTATTGGCATAACTAAAATGCAGATATCTTATCAGGTTGAAAGGTCAAAAAGCTAAATAATTCCACTTCTTCTTCAATCGCTTTGTAAGAACAATTTTCAGTACTGGGAGACAAAAATTCATGTAATTTAATATTGTAAAATCCTTATGGGATAAGGGTTTTGGAAAGGGTTAGTGAAATAACTATTCATTTCTACAAACTTTATAAAATTACATCCAAATTTAGATCTCAGTGGACAGTTCTACACATCACAAAACCACTATCCCTCTTGGCAAACGTGGTGGCTTCTGCTTCATGGGTCCAGTACTAAATTATTAGTGTTGGAACTGAAGATTGAGGTGCACTGGGATTCATGTCTGTTTTCAGGGGGTAGCCTATAATCCTCTTGATTACAATTTATCGCTTTCCATGTTTGTTAAATTTCACATATAAAGAGAAGTACTGCTTAAAAGCAGGTCAGACTATTAGGACAATGATTTGCTTGAGCGTGGAAGTACTTGAGTGTGGAAGTACTCTGTACTTGGAGTTTTGCCTCTTCTTAGTTAGCAATGATAATTTTATCACACAAATCAATTTGTTACTTTTGATACAACTCTAGATTATTCTGAAACCTTGAAGACAAAGTTCCATTCTCAAATGTTTTCATAGCTCATTAATATAAAATGTCTTGTCAACCACTTCTTCCCCCATTCACAGTTTTGCAGACCACCTCCTTTTACAATCCAGTTCATTAAACCATCTCCCTTTTTATTCACAATAACATCCTTTAGACAACTACAGCAGTTGCGTAGATGGAAGATTTATATTTTTAGTTTTTTAATGCAATTTAGCAGCTGAAAAAAGGACGAGAGGCAGTAGCAGACAGATCTTCAGGAGCCAGCTTGAGACCCACTGAACAATTGTGTTTGGTGGTTCTCCCCTTTCCTCCACAGCATCTGGAGAACAGAGTATCTCTTTTTCTACTTAGCATTACAATGTTAGCTCTTTGAAGCAGGCAGTGTCTTTCTCAATTTAACATGGTTCTTATTGCTGTGGGGCCCCGCTCCTAATTGAAGTGTATTGATGCTACCTGAATGCAGGTAACTGCAACTCCTCCACCTGTCTCCTTTATCCCATTCTCAGCCTTTGACTTTCATCTGTCTTCTGACTCCTTCCTCACAGCATACAAGCATACTCTCGTTTCTTCATCCTCAAAAATTAAAAAAAAAAAAAAAAAAAAAACCCTTAAATGCCACCCACTTCCAAATGCCATACAATCTTCTTTCTACTCACTTCTGAGCTCTTTCAGTGTGCCATCTACAACAGCTGCCTTGACTTCCCCTCATCCAGCTTCCTTTTGGACCCCTTCTTAGGGTATGTCTACACTACGGAATAAGGTCGAATTTATAGAAGTCGGTTTTTTAGAAATCGGTTTTATATATTCGAGTGTGTGTGTCCCCACAGAAAATGCTCTAAGTGCATTAAGTGCATTAACTCGGCGGAGCGCTTCCACAGTACCGAGGCTAGAGTCGACTTCCGGAGCGTTGCACTGTGGGTAGCTATCCCACAGTTCCCGCAGTCTCCGCTGCCCATTGGAATTCTGGGTTGAGATCCCAATGCCTGATGGGGCTAAAACATTGTCGCGTGGTTCTGGGTACATATGTCAGGCCCCGTTCCCTCCCTCCCTCCTGAACAAGGGCAGACAATCATTTGCCTTTTTCTGAGTTACCTGTGCAGCCCATACCACTCAAGCATGGAGCCGCTCAGGTAACTCACCTATGTCTCCTGGGTGCTGGCAGGCCGTACGCTTGCTACCAGTAGCAGCAACCCCTTGCCTTGTGGCAGCAGACAGTACAGTACGACTGGTGCTCATCGTCATGTCGAGGTGCTCTGGCCGTGGCTGGCCTGGGCACTGGGTGCAGGGACTAAATTTGGAGTGACTTGACCAGGTCATCTCTTTGTCCTGCGTCGTCCTTTGAACCTCTTTGGTGAGCGGGCCTGTGCAGCATCGTCTGTCCATCTTCTGCCAGCAGGCAAGAATGAAGATGTGCAGTCGTACTGTACCAACTTTGCGAGCGCCATGAGATGTGGGTCTGCTCCTTCTGCACCTCTGTCCCAAAGATGTAAAAGATAGATGGAGGGTCAGAACAAAAATAGACCAGTTTTTTTTGTACTCATTTGCCTCCTCCCCTGTCTAGGGACCTCCTCTAGATCACTCCACTCACAGAAAGCAATAAATCTGCTGTATCAATCAGACCGCCCCCTTGTTCCAATAAGAACGAAACTGGGCACCTTCTTATTGGAACCCTCGAGCCGAAACCCTGTACGCACCCCCTTTTTATCCGACCCCGTACGCACCCCCCCCCCTCGACAACCACAATCCTTTTGGGGCCCAACAAGGACCCTTTAGGCCTACACCCCCATATCCAGCAGTATGCCACCAGAACCTGGCACATAGCGGATCCGTCGTGAGTGTCAGGACATGGACACAGTTTTCTGAAAGCATGGGTGCGCAGCAATGGTGCTAATGGGGCGTTCACTTGGCTTGGGTGGGACGCACTGGTGGGGTGTTCGGGGTTCTGGCGCAACTTTCAAGGGCACTTTCATGGAACTTTGTGACTTGCTTTCCCTGCCCTGCGAATACCAGAGAGACCCCTCACAGGTGAGAACATGGATAGCCCTGTGGACTTGCAAGCCAGACCTACCGTCAGTTGGGAATCAATTTGGAGTGGGCAACTCTGTGGGGGCTGTGTGATGCAAGTAGCCCACGCAATCAAAGATCTGCTGATATCAAGGGTAGTGACCCTGGGAAATGTGCGGCATAGTGGTGGCTTTGCTGCAATGGGTCCTAACTGTGGTGGGGCTATAGACGGCCCAATCCCTATCTTGGCACCGGCCCGGCGACTAAACCGCAGGGGACTTTTCGATAGGCTGCACTGGTGGATCACAGGGACTCACCAACTCAACGGTGGCGGAGGGGGTTCGGAACGGTTGTTTCAAAGCTGCGGGGGTTTATTCCCAGACCGAAAAAGTTGGGATGTTGAAAGCCATAGTACCTTGGGGACCCGCCCCCCTTGCCGCTCGAACCGCGGCGTTCAACCGCGTGCGAATGGTGGAGTTTGGTTAAGGGTTCGAGGCGACCCCGTCGCGTGCCCGGGTAGGGGGTGGGTGGGTGGAGGGGGTGGCGTAGAAGGGGGTTTGAAAAGTTCGAGCGGTGAGTCTTGTTTGACCCCCTTGGTTCCCCTTCCCGCCCCCCCCCCCCCCTCCGCGCCAACTTGTTGCTTCACTCGCCGTTCCACACCAATAGGGGGAGACACCGACCGGGGGGTGGGGGGGAAGGAAATGCCACACGCCTTTACACGCCTTAAAGTTTACAACTTTAAAATTTATTAAATGACGCCTCTTTTTTGGGCAACTGTGGTGGGGGCTGGTGGGGCCCCGTCTTGGGCTGGGTGGGGGATGGAACTTGGGGGGCGGTTGGTTACGGGGTGCGTGCGTCTGTGTCCCTGCCTTTGCTGCCTCAACCCCTGTCTGGTTTGGTCCCCTCTGAACCGCCCCCCCCCCCTGTCAGCCCTGTCTTCGCCCCCCCTCTTCGCCCCCCCTCCCCCCCCCCCCCCGCTTGCTTCCGCCCGCGCCCGGCCTGTCGGGGGGGCGATGGAATTCAGCAGGTTTTTCTTTCTGCTTCCTGTCTCTGGGAAGGGGGATGGGCGGTGGGAAAGGGAGTTTTAAAAAAACTTTTAAAAACGGCACCCTTTCGGTAACCGCTGTTAACATTACAACCCTGGCCGTTACGTTGCCCCCCCCGGGAACGTTTTGGTGAGCCCACCCGCGCTTTGTTCTACGGTTCCCCGGGTGCGGGGGGGGGCCCCGAGGAGCCGACCTTGCAACGAACAGCGGGCAGACTGCTGCTTTAAACCGTAGCTTAAAGGACACCACCAGGCCCTCTCCGCCGCGGCCGGCCTGGGTGGGTTGGGGCTGGCTCCGGCTAGGGTGAGCGTCTGGCTGTCGGAAAGGTTCTCCGCTGCTTGCTGGCACAACCCCCCCCCACCCCCCCAAAACCCTCCGGCCCCCCCTGAAGGGCAACTGGGGTGGGGGCGAACCCCCTAAGGGCCACAAGAGTTGGGCGAGCGCCGGTTTCGGGGCGCCCGTGGTGGCCCGTGGCCGCCGCCCGGGGTTTCGAGGTTTGGCTTCGAAACTGGAACGGTGCCCCCAACCGCACCCGCCCCCGCGCGGGCCTTGCGCTGGGCACGGTCACCTCTAAACGAAGGCAAAGTGTCGCCTGGCCGGCCGGTGGGCGAGGCCTGGGCGGGGAAACCCGAGGCCAGACCCCACGGCTCCACCTGTCAGGGGTGGGAGAAGTTTAGGTCGAAAAAGGGGGAACGACAAAAGGGGCGCATTTAGCTTCCACTCTTCACCTCCACCAAAACTGCTGTCACCAACATTTCCGACATATCATCAGAGCCAAATTCCAGAATCTCTGTTATCTCTTTCTGCAGCCTCAGTATTGCTGATCACTCCAGTGTTCAACACCTTGTTTTCCCTTGGTTCTTATAGCCGTGAAAGGTCCAGATTCTCCTCAGACCTCTCAGATATCTCTTTCAAAGGCTCCATTCTTCTCTCATTATGTTGGCATCCCCTTTTATTTGAGCTCGCTCTATTCTCCCATTGCCATTAGTTTTGCAACATCAGAGTCATCTCTTATGCCTCCTTCTCCCAACATATCCAGAATGTTACCACTTATTTTACAAAGATGAGCACTATTACTCGGTTCTGATTACTAAAATACTTGTCCCATCTAGCAGTGGGCATTTTAGATCTTCTTGAGCCTCCCTTCATCTTCCACTGAACCATGGAATGCTCACATAGGAAGCCAAGTCCCCGCAGAGCACTAAATATCCCAGCTCCCTTGGGAACCAGGGCAGCAGCAGCCCATCTTTATAATCACGGTTTTCTTAATGATAGACAGACACTCCAAGATGTTGGACTTCAGCAACCAATTACATTTGTTGCTATATGAGCTTATGAACTGTTCTCTGATCTGCCTACTATGCCATGCTTCATCTCTTGACCTTTTTCCTATACCATTTTGTTTCTTCTTTCCTCTTGTGCCTGTCTCCATCACACCCCCTCCTTTTATGTTCCTGTTCTCCCACTTCCGTTATTCCTGTTGTATCCGCTCCATTCACACTCCCTTATGGTTACAGAGGGAAAAAAAGTTTTTAAACTATATAAACAATCAGTATTAAAAACACAACCTTATAGAGCCAGCAAGATATATAAACAAATCCTAGAAATTTATATGAAATTGCTTTGTAACCCCTGTATTCCCATCAGTTTATTTATCTTCCCGGTATTCATTACTCACACTTCTTGCTCTTTGGGGTGGTGACCATATTTTTTTTATAGCGGAAGAGTTTAGCGAATGTTTGTGTGGTGCTATAATAATAATTGTCCACACCCTGATTCTCCCACATTGATTGATTACTGCAGCCTCTTCTTCTCTGGCTTCCCTAATTCCTAAATTTCTTTAATCAAGATCTTGCAAAACATAGATGCTAAGATTATCTTCCACACCTGTGAATCAGATCACATCACTCATCTCTTCTTCCACAGACTCCCTGTAGCGTATCATATTCAATTATAAATGTGTATGTGGTAAAGGACCTGTGCAATTCAACCCAGAATTTCAGGCTAAACTTTTACTATGGATACAATTTTGTATGGTAAAATTAAGCAAAATTCACAGGACTGTCTTGGTACAAAAAGGAAAAAATCAGGGTATGGTTACAGCGGGAATGAAGCCTAAGCTGGAGTGGGGCTGAATCTGAAGCCGAAGAAGTCATGGAACTCTGTTAAAATCACAGAATCCGTGACCTCCGTGATTAAATCGCATCCTTAACTATTACAGATTTTGGATTTTATTTTTTTGCCTCCCTTAACGTGGTAAAGAAGGTAGTAGCTTGTTTTTACTTTTAACATAAAAATAATCTCCATTGAAGATGGAATCACAACAATATTTTTGTACGTATTCTTATTAAACATTAAATCTGATTATATTTTTGCTGTAATCAGGTGTAGTGTCTGAATGTCAACAAGAGAGATCTCAAATCAGAAATAAAGAGAAGGCTATGCAAATGCTTCGTGCTAAACTATACAGCATCAAACTAGAAGAAGAGACAAGAAAGAGATACAATGCCAGAAAGATTCAGGTAGGATTTACTTTGCAAACGAATAGCTCTATGCGTATGGGACTGCTGAGAGCAAGTTACATTTTAACTTTCTTTTTAATCTAATTTTAATTGCGATATATTAAAGTTAAATGCAGTGCACAAATGTCTTATTCCAGGGGTTCTCAAACTTCATTGCACAGCGACCCCCTTCTGACAACAAAAATTAAGTGACACCAGGAGGGTGGACTGAAACTTGAGCTCAGCTGCCCCGGGTAGCAGGGCCAAAGCCCAAGCCCCACCATCTCGCCTGTAACCTGAGCCCCCCCACCCAGGACTGAAGCCTTTGGGCTTTGGCTTTAGTCCCGGATGGTGGAGCTCGGGCTTTGGCCCCGGCCATAACAAGTCTAAGCCAGCCCTGGTGACCGCATTAAAATGGGGTCCCAACCCACTGTTTGAGAATCGCTGTCTTATTCCATTAAATTGCAGTGCATAAGGCTTGGGTAGGGCTTGGTGGCACAGGTATTTTTCACCCTGGCTAGTAATCTTACACATTGAGCTAGCTGTCATACACAGGGATTGAAAAAAACTTATCTACATGCATGTAATGTCAATAGCAGCATGATCACGCATTCTGCACTTTTGACTACTTATCTAGTTCCATCAGGACATAGTACTATCCACATTAAGTCTCTGAATAGCTTTCAAACCGCTGACTTTGTTTTTTAAATTAACCTGTCTGAAAAATATCTCAGGTACATGATGAACAATATTCAGTCCTGGGTCAGTGACAGGGTAAAGGGCTGATGTCTGATAATCTATCGCAATTAGAAACTATGTACCATTAGAAAGGAAAGACTTATGGCTTTGCAGTAGGATAGAGCACACATTTCTAAACCTGATAATTTATTAAATATTTGACCTTTTAAGTGTGAAATGACATACACAAAACATGTATTCTGGTTCAGTGTCAAACTTTGTATTCTAGCTATATTTCATACACAGTGCTATACAAGATCTAGAGACCTAATGAGACAAGTGAAACAAAACAACTGCTGAGTACAGTAACCAGAATACTAGAGACAATACTAGTTTTTAATTCACATATACATTTATTATCCAGTGATAGCTACTTTAGCACTTCATATAGGTTTGTAATAACTAAAAGAACACTACAGTTCTTCATATATATATATATATGATCTAAGAACTCTAGGAACTTGTTATTCTTAGCCATAGCTGTAGTGAACAGGTCTGTAGGTTAGTACTATTACTAAATCTCTGTCATGAATATTGTGTATTTCTAGTCGGAAGTAAAAAACTGATGTTCAAATGCTTAACCAGTATATTATTCTATGCTTAAAAAGAATACCATGATAATAAACTGATTCTTCTTATGTGATAGATTGGGACCAAAGGAAGATCTGAGAAGATCAGAACATACAACTTTCCACAGAATCGTGTTACTGACCACAGGATAAACAGAACTGTGCATCATATTGAAAGTTTTATGTTAGGGGAAGAACTGTTAGATGAAATGATAACATCCCTGATGGAATGTGCTGATTATGAAACTTTAATGGAAATTATTTCAGAAAATGTAAAAACAAATCTGACCTGAACTTTGTTCTTTGCTAAGACCTGTAATGACAGATATGGCTACCCTGGCACAAATTAGCTGCATGACTGTTTGCTGGAGCATCACACAGGAGGTGTAAACTGCATTTCAGATCATCAAAAAGAACTAATTTATCTCCTCATGACTGCTAAACAGTTTTTTTTCCTACTTGCTGGAGTAGAAGACTGTTGACTTTTGTATGAGATGACTACAGTGTAGAAAATCTAAAGTAAATATGATTGAGTTTGAAGTGATTGCAGTTTTTACTTTCTCACCTGGACATTGCTGCTCTACTTTCAAAAGGTATGCAGAAAAACAGAGTTGCTTCTAGTTCTAGGCTTCATTTGAGCGTAAAAATCTGTTCCATACAGTATAAAGCCAAGGATGCAGGGAGCCTCCCTTTTATAACATTTAGGCTAGTAGTTAGGGTGCTCAGCTGTGAGTGGGCTACTCTTACCTCTCAGGTGAGTGACCTAGCCACCTGACTACACAATGACTCTGTTTCTGTCTCTGGCCCAAGTAATATTTAATTATCTTATTAAAGTAGAATGAATTCAACAAGAGAGATTGAGAGAGACCTACATCAGAATATCCCATAGTCCCGTGGCTAAGGTACTCACCTTAGAGGTTACACACCCCTATTCAAATGCCTTATCAGGCAAAGGGGGGAATTTAAACTAGGATCTCCCATATCTCAGCTGAGTACCTCATGCACTGAGCTAAAGATTAGAAGGGAGACCCCCTCTTCCCCACAGCCATTTTGTATGGAGTGAGACAGACACCTAAACTGTTTGTTTCTTGTGAAAATGACTTAGGCACCTAAGTCACCTGACTCCAAGAGAGGGGTTCCTGGTTGTGGATCACAAGCAGAAATAGGTGCCTCCCTGCAGACCAGATTTAGGCACTGAACTTTAACAGACACCTGAGATGACCGGGATTTAGGACACACCTTTCCCATCAGCATCTCCCACCTGCTAGCTTAGGCAGCTGCATGCCTAACTTGCTGATCTTTGTGTATCCCATTTTTACGGTGCGCTCTCTCTCTCCCCATGCATTGTATAGGGAGCCTATGCATCTAACGTAGGCTTTGTGGATTCCTGTGATTTTCAAGGCATCTGAAGCTAGGCTCGTTGCAATGCCCAAGTTCCTTTTGTGGATTTTGGATGTACTCTCTTGAAGCCTGAACTTCAGGTCTTCTGTTTCTTGCTTTCCTCTTTTTATCAGTTATATCAAGGTTATATGCTATTAGAAAACTAGTGGTGACTAGACTATTTTCTGTAACCTTCAGCAAGATGCTAAGCTCATCTGTAAAGGTGGAGTTTTTATTGTCTGTATACATTGTTGTGTTGACTAATCATGGCTGTGTAAGAGTTGCATTAGCAGCCCTGGAGATCTGAAGTCCTTTACTCAGAATGGTCCAGCCTGGGGATGGCAGTGCAAATTGTCCTGCCAGTGTCATTACAGATGGCAGTTCTTGCAGGAGTAGGGCAAACGCTAATTAAATATAAAGTATCTTAGCTAATAACAAAAATACCTATTCTCTCCAGCTACTGTACTGGAGGGTAGCAATTTATATTTGAATCTGTCTTTCTAAAGGTGGTATAGGTAATCCTGGAAATTGCAGACCAGAAAATCTTATTTCAGTACCAGATAATAGGGACAAATCAGCATGGTTTATGTAAAGGAAAATTCTGCCTCTCTGATCTGCTGGTGATCTTTTTTGTGTGGTTAAAACAGAGGATAAATGAGAAACATTACATTTATATTTGGGTATGCAAAACACTGAAAGTAATTGTGACTGTCCACACAGACACAGTGATGAGCACAATTTTTATACCAGACCATACTATCATATATTGCATATATAATAAAATCTGTAGGGCAACAAGTGATTCATATAATGAAGAAAAATTTTGCTATGGGTAAAAATGTTTACTTCAGATTTCTATTTAACAAAATCACCAAAACATATTAGAATAAAAATAAGTTAGTATGTGCGACAAACTTTGCAGGAGTTTGCTTATAAACATTATAATTTCAATAAAGTACATACAAAATGTAATGTGTTGTAAACAATTAAGGAATGCAATTATAAAACTAAACAAAGTTTATATCTACATTCCATTATGTTACATTTACTTGCTTCTCTAGTTTGAACCAGGAAATATACAAGTCCTTTGTATACAAGTAAGTGCTTATTTAAGCTTGGCTTTCTAGAGGCTATTTTGTTTCCTAAAATGATCCTGTATGCTAGCCTTAGTACTAAGCTCTATTCTGTAAAGCAGTGATGCGCAAGCTTAACTTTATCCATGAAAGTAGTTCCTTTGAAGTGATGGGAGTACTTACACTCAAAGTTAGGTATCTGCACCACTTTTTGCAAGAATGGAGCCTTACTCGTCACAATTTTGGTATATTTATATGCAGAATCAGAAGTGTAAGGTCATATTGTGTATCTGTAAGTGCAGCCCCCCTTCCCTTCAAGTTCTTGAGTTCTTAAAATCACCTCTCTGTTCCATGTTAGTTTTGATGGAGGGACTGTTTTCTCTAACAACTCTGGGGCTTCAGGGACACTACTCCTGCGTTGATACAACTCCACTGAGATGTGAGATGACTGTATTGTGCTCCCACTGGAGCTGATTTTAAGAACGTGAAGGAATGGGGGTTGCACTAACAGACACATAATAGTTTCTGATTTTGCACATAAATGATACCAAAATTATAGTGTAAAGGCGCCACTCTTGGAAACAGTGATCCATATACCTAACTTTGAGTATAAGTACTCCCATGACTTCAGTGGAACTACTTTCATGGGTGAAATTAAGCATGCATCACTGCTCTACAGAATGGAGCTTAGTACTAAGGCCAAAATACAGGATCACTTAGGGAACAAAATGGCTGCTGGAAAAAGAAGGGCTTATTTAAACCTAAATAGCGGCCTAGTTCTAGACCTAGATTCTTGTCTTGTGCAGATGGTGGACTTAATCCTGAATTCCTTCTTCACTGCAACTGAGCATCTTATAGACAAGAAGAATTTAAAGGAATAAGCATTGCTATTGTTCTAATAGCCTTGGAAATTTATTTAGTAGCCAGGCAAGCAGAGTCTAAAGTGAGTGGATTGTTGGTTTTATTATGGGGGCAGCAGGGGAACCTGTTCCATCCTCTCCTTTCTCCAAATAAAGTAAAGCCCATGTTGCTGACACGGAGGATACTTGTTAAACATTTTGCACAGCCAAGCCAGTGCTGAGACAGGATTCTGCCTGCTAAACTCTGTTCCACTATTGTCTAGGTGACACTGAATATTTGGGGGTACTGAAGAACTTTGGTCAGCTAACCACTGGGGGTGAGGGAGAAGGTTGGAACCTGACAGCCAGGCCTAAACCAAGCTGCAGCAGAGGGTAAGTGAAACTCCTGTAGTTCAAGGGAATAATTAAATGGTACAATAACATATAAAAGGGGAGGAGACATTAATTTACAGAGACAATTACTCCTGGGGGAATTCTGCACACAATATTTTAAAATTCAGCACATCTTATGTGTCAGAATAACACAACATCATCATGCTCCAGCTGTCAGCCCCAGGCTGTCTGGCTGCAGGAGCACCTGTCGCCCTTGCTAGAGAGTGCTGGGAGGGGGGAAATAAATTCTGCTGGAAAAAATAAAATTTTGCAGAGAATATTAATTCTGCATTGCGCAGAATTCCAGCAGGAGCAGACTCTTCTGCAGCTTATGGTTAACGTGAGCCTGTTTTACTTGGGTTAGCATATGGGAATCTGCATTTCCATGTCTCCCTTCGGATGATCCCAAGGAGTTTACATTGGTGTTAAGCCACCCTCCAGGCTGCCAAGGGGGTACAACTGCCCCCGCTTTAGAGATTGGGGAAACTGCGCCACAAAGGTAAGGGAATGATTTACCCATGGTCAGAGAACAACTTACAAATAAACCTCAGGTTTCAGAGTAGCGGCTGTGTTAGTCTGTATTCGAAAAAAAGAAAAGGAGTACTTGTGGCACCTTGGAGACTAACAAATTTATTTGAGCATAAGCTTTCTGCATCCGATGAAGTGAGCTCAGGAAAACCTATGCTCAAATAACTTTGTTAGTCTCCAAGGTGCCACAAGTACTCCTTTTCTTTTAGCAACTAAACCTCAGTAGCTACCCCATGTCCCAGTCCTTTGCAGTAAATACCTTTCCCTAAAAAAGGGATCTAAGCTGCCTGGCACAGCCAGGGCAGAGAACCCAGGCGCAGGGTGCCTGCATGGAGCAGCGCTTACTGATGGCGCGAGCGCTGGGACCCAGAGAGGCAATCAGGACGTTCAGAAAAGCCGCTTCTGCTGGCGGCGCCGCATTCTGTCTCCCGCGCTCCACGTGTCCACCCCGGAGAGCGCGCGCTGCCAGCCTCCCTCCCTGCTTTTGGACACGCCCATGGGCGCGAGCGCGGGCTCGCGCTTGCCTCGCCCCTCTCCCTCAGAAGAGGGAAAATGCGAGGGAGGAGGGGCTCCTCCTCGCGAGGCCCGGGATTGGCTGCCGTTTACAGCCTCCCCGCCATTGGCGGCCGGGCTCGTGGGGCGGCACCTGATTGGCCGCCGGGATTTTGGATACCAAATTCAAAGTTTTTAAAAGTACCCGGCAAGCGCGGCAGCCGCCCAGAGTCATTCACCGGCCGCGGTTCGCGCGGAGGGAGCAGCGCCCCAGGTACCGTGGCCGGGCGAGGGGGACGGGGCTGAGGAGCCGCCGCATTGGCGGGGGGTTTGACTTGTCCCGGTCTCAGAGGCGGTGGGGCTGTGACGCGTCCCGGGTCACGGCGGGCTCGGTGCCCTGGCGTCCGTGCCCGGGCTGGGGCGCCCCGGGCTCTGGAGGGTGGATGGCGGGAGCGGGGCTCCGGCTGCGTGCCTCGGTTCTTGTGCTAGGGAAACCGAACGTGCCTCGGGGCGGGGGTTTCCCCTGGGCGGCCGCCGAGTGGCTCAGACCCGGCAGGTAGCCCGGGGGTCCTTCGGGGGCCGCCGGCCTCCCATCACCCCCCCACCCCCTCCCCAAAGCCTTGCAGCCACTTCCCCCCCCCCGGTCACTCCTCTCGGTCTCCCGCCCTGCGGCGGGATGGCGGGCCCCGGGCTGCTCCCCCCACGCGAGGGAAGCGCCAGCCCCGGGGGTCTTGGCGGGCGGGAGGAAGGCTGAGGAGCAGCCGCGCAGCCCCGTCTCCCGCCCGTCCAGGCCATGCCGCCGGGAGAGGACACTGCCTAAACTGGCGGCAGATTG